AAGTGGGCAGGAGCTGAATCTAAGTACGGGAGCGCTGGGGTCTCGTCACGTGGCGCTGGGGTCTCGAACCCAAGCTTTCCATCTGAGAAGCTCAGTGTCTTTAATCACTGAGTCACCATGGGCATCCTTTTGAATTGCTAAGTGGGCAGGAGCTGAATCTAGGTACGGGAGCTCACCCCGTCACGTGGCGCTGGGGTCTCGAACCCAAGCTTCCCATCTGAGAAGCTCAGTGTCTTTTAACCACTGAGCTACCACGCCTGAGAAAGTACCAGAAGAAAATGATTCCCAACATCGGGGATAGAATAGTGGACCCGGGACAGCCAAGGAAGCTCTTCTAACAGAAGTTGGAGATAATTGTCTGCTTCTTCTGCATCCATCTCTCTCTTTACATCTATGTTTCGCCGCGTCTTCCAGAATTGGCCACGCGCTACTATGACAAATGACAGCCACCCCCCTCTCCCAAGGATGCTTTCTGCTCGTCACCTACCTACCTTGTAAATGATGCATCTGAGAATGCAACAGCGCCTTCTTTTTAGAAGTGTATCTGTCCCTGTTGCTATGCCGGTTTTCTGTCTGCTTGGCCTGACCGTGGTCATCGCTGGTGGTCAGATATTTGAGAAGCTCCGAGCAGGGACGCCTCTGTGGCTTTTGAGGCTGGCAGATGCTCTTGGCTTTATTGCTCCATGAATTCTCAGTCTTGGGAAATGAGTCGCAGCGAAAGAGGAGGGGGAAAAAAAAGGGGGTGAAATTAGGGAGCTGAACCTTATCAGGATGGATACCGAGCGTGGTGGTGGTGGTTGTTGTTTTTAAGAAGAAAAAAAAAGAGAGAGAAAGAGATTAGCGGCGAAGGGTCGAGTCTAAGCCACCAGATCGATGAGCTGTGAATAATTATTTGCAGAACCAAGAAGGAAAATTACATTAACATTCGTAAACGACTTCGCTGCTGGTTTTTTTTTAAATTTCCGTCCTGCTAATGCTTCTAGGCAGCGCTCAAAAGGTCCCAGAGTTCCTTCACTGCTACCAACAGGACAGGAAGAGACAGAGGAAGAGTTTAAAGCTTAATTTGATGCTGATTGCTCAAGTCTTACAACCTGTTTGCAACTCTCTTAAGTGCCCCTAAACGCTCTGTTTTCAGTTACGGTGACAAACATTGTTTAATGCAGGTTGCTAACAGAATTACCCACTTGCCAACATCTCAAAACAATTAGTGGCCATCGTGGAACTTCCTTCTTAAGGTGCCAGCATAATCTTCTTTTAAGCTGGATGGCTGGCAGAGGAGCAAACCTGGGCCTGTACATCAAACCAGGCCCATCACTAATATTTTTTAAGAGCAAGCCCATCTACTCTGCAAGTAGAAAAAGGTAGAATTGGGCTGTGAAAATGCTAATATGCTTTGCCAAGGAAAAAAAAAAGAAAGAATTGATATTACGATGTAGAATATCAATTGCTTTTACTCCTATTAGACATTTCCCCTCCCTCTGCCACTTTCCCTTTTTCTACTGAAGGTATTTACCTGGGGTGAAATGCTATAGCAATAGCAGTTCGACTTATATACCGCTTCATAGGGCTTTCAGCCCTCTCTAAGCGGTTTACAGAGTCAGCATATC